TAGACCTGCTTGGCTTAACACAATATTTTATCTGTTATTCATTTAGCTTTTTACCAAAGTTCCTAAATGGGATGCATGAGTTTTGAAAAGTTTTTCCATTTCTAGAGTTATACTTAGTGAATTAATGATACATTGTATCAGTGTTTTACATAACAGTAGTGGGGGTAGATGGGAACTACAGTAGTGCTAACGGGGTAGATGATGAAAGGAACTACAGTATTGTTACTAAACTCAGCCATTTTAAAAAAGTAGTTTAAGGATGAAGAGCTGATAGTGACAGGAAGGAAATGTTTTCTCTATCTCAGACCATCAAAGCTTATTAGTAAACGATTGCATGTGTGTTCTTCAAATTTTCCTTAAGATTATCTGACTCTGGGCAGTTAGTAGTGAAAGACTTGTCCTTGTATGTTTTCTCTATATGTGCAACTCCCAGTGGTCAGTCTAAGTAGTAAGTAGGTTTTCACTATATGTGCAACTCTCCAGTGGTCAGGCTAAGTAGGTTTTTTCTCTATATGTAGAAAATGCTGGCTTTTCACTATTAAGTTAAGGCTTGAGGTCAGAATTTTTCAGCTTCTGGGTCAACATTTTGTTTTTATAAGGAAACTTAACAAAATTTAGAGTTGAAATGAGTGCAACAATAATATGGCATAGAGGATGCCATTGTCAAACTATTATTTTTTTTACCAATTACAGCAAAAAAAAATTAAAACATCACAGTTACATACAATAAGTATATTTGTGGTTGTTAGACACTAAAGATTACTTTGTGGGTCTGTAGGTAATTTAATAACTTCTTTTATAAAATGTTCAGTTGGTCTTTATCTAGGTATTTTATGACAGTTTAGCCATTATATCTAGCGGTTCCTATCTTACCCTAGCAGAATACTTTATATTGTAAATTATAACATGATAATTTGAGTGCAATATTTGTATCCATTTTAAACCATGACAAATGAACAAACTGTCTGGGTTTTAATGGTTGGCTTTTTGTGTGTGATTATTTGTCTTAGGAATATCTTTATTTAATCAAAGTTTTTTCATTTTAATCATTCTATGTAAGCCATCCTTTTATGTCTTTGAGCACATGAAAATAATTGCAATGTCAATTGAAATATAGAATGTTCAAACAGTACTTGGCTTTTATCATTCATTCAATGTCTAACAAAATAAAGGAAGCTACAGTTTGGCCTTCCAATTAAAAAAATAATATTTAGAATAACAACCTTTTATATATGCACTAACATTTGTTCTTAAATATAATACAAAGTTTATTTATATAACTACAAACAAACAATCACTATATGAATTTGGTAGTCCCAACAACACAGGCCTTTCTAATTAGTTATGTATAAATAATGGTACATGATCAATTTTTTTTTCTTCTAAGTAAATGTATTTAAACTTTGTCATTAAAAATATTTAGTTATTTTTTCATAAAAATATTTTCTTTTTTGATTATTTATAATTAAAATTGAAGACTGAAAAAGGCTTATTTTAAGTAGAATGAGGGGCCTGGTCAAACAATTAAGTTTACTCTAATTTATTTGGACAAACACAACATGGCATAGGATTAGTTATTTGGGATCAAAGTTTGAAAAGATATTCACAAACTTGCTAAGAGAAAATTAACATAAATGCATTTTAAAACATTCAAATAGAGCTGATTTTAAAATATTCAAACATAAAGGCAAGAAAGAATAAAGGATAAAATATAAAGCATAAAAAACAAATAGTCTTTAGTATTTTACAAAAGGAATTAAATAATACAGTTGACATAATGTATGATGATCTTTCAAAACTTGATTTCCTATATCACTAAAATGTTTAGTGACATTTGGTAGAACTGTTCTAAGGGGGGGGGGGGGGTGTCTTTTTTACCTCCAACATGTTCAATCTACAGGGTACCACTATATTTTGTGACATAATACAATCATCATGTCTGTCATGGTAATGAACCATTTTCATTAATGTCAACACCATCTTCAACATCACCACTACAGTCTATACCAACACTATCTTCAACATCACCACTACATTCTACACCAACACCATCTTCAACATCACCACTACAGTCCACACCAGCTTCATCATCTTCCATTTCATCTGGAAATGTTTTGATGCTCTCATCGGGCTGCCCCAATCCTGCTTTTTCAGCACGACGTTTGCGCTTGATGCGCAGCTTTCTCCTTTTCTCTTCTTCTTCCTCTAAGTTAGGATCGTCACTGATTTCATCCTCACTGTCCTCCCCCAGGTCTGTCAGATCTGGGCCCTGGCGTATGGTCCATGTGTTGTAGCCTGCCAGCCTCTGGAAATCTTGACAGACGCCAATGAGCAGCAGGGGGGGCAACATGTGCATGACAACAGCGTAGTCCTGGTACTTGATGCACTGGACGCAGCTGGGGTTCACTGCCCAAACACAGTTGCGAACAATGGCTTTGGCGTCTTGCTGAGTTAGTGACTCCATCTCATTGTTTCCTCGAAACAACAAGGAAAATCTAAGAGGCAGTTGGCTTGATCCCAGAGTTTTTTCTATCAGTGGTAGCACAGCTTTCTCTAGCGCCTTAGGCTTGGCCTCACACACCTCTTCCACTGGCATGATGCGGAACGGAAATTTGGAAGTGGATTCAGTTTTTAGCTCCGACAGTTTACTAAGAACAAAATGTGCAAATTCTGATGGTTCTTCAAGATTGCAAGCTATAAAGCCACAGTTATGGTAAACTAACTCCCTCTGAATAAATTCAATACCAGAAGAGTTTGGTGCCTCCTCACAGTTTTTTTTCCCATCTGAGTTGCTAAGCTTGGAAGTTTTTTCTTCATTAGGTTGTATGTTTTTTTCTGCACACTGAAAAGAACATCAGTGAGTGTAAAGTAATCACAACTGATTATAGTCCATAGTTTTAGGAAAAATGAAATGTTTATAATTTTACTGCAGTTATTTGTGCATTAGGCCATCTACAGGTCTCACCAGGTAAACCAACCTTTTTCTCACCAGGTAAACCAACCTTTTTCTCACCAGGTAAACCAACCTTTTTCTCACCAGGTAAACCAACCTTTTTCTCACCAGGTAAACCAACCTTTTTCTCACCAGGTAAACCAACCTTTTTCTCACCAGGTAAACCAACCAGGTAAACCAACCTTTTTCTCACCAGGTAAACCAACCTTTTTCTCACCAGGTAAACCAACCAGGTAAACCAACCTTTTTCTCACCAGGTAAACCAACCAGGTAAACCAACCTTTTTCTCACCAGGTAAACCAACCAGGTAAACCAACCTTTTTCTCACCAGGTAAACCAACCTTTGTCTCACCATGTGAAACCAACCTCTTTCTCACCAGGTAAACCAACCTTTTTCTCACCAGGTAAACCAACCTTTTTCTCACCAGGTAAACCAACCAGGTAAACCAACCTTTTTCTCACCAGGTAAACCAACCTTTTTCTCAAAGTACTGCTGTGTGTAACTTTTGAATAGCTTAATAATTTCCATCCCCGCAGGTTTATTCCACCTGAGCTTAGAGAGACTGATCAGGAAGCCTTTGTCCCCAGGACTTAGAACCAGCTTCCCATGATCCAGAGGAATCAACTTGTATGGCATCATGGTCAGCAGTTTCTGAAATTTCAAACAGTCGAGTCATGAAAAAAACCCCGAGAAAATAGTGATAGGGAAATGTTTGACACTGACATTAAAACAATTTTTAAAATATTAAAACATGACACATTACATTGGTAACACTTGTATAGGGGTATACAGTCTTTTACTTGTGAAACTTACTGGATCCAGACTTTTGGACTAGTTGTAGAGATTATAATTTTAAGTATTGCATTTGCATTATAAAGTTATATGATAGATGTATAACCAATCAGTTGAGTTATACCAACCATTTAATTGTGCTCAGGTAAGTCGAGTTTTCTTTTTAGACCTAATGATTGATAGAGCTGATGAAGTCAAGTTCATGTTTCTAGACCCCGGCATATGTATAACTTGGGTGGGCAGGTTACAAGCAGGGCTGCAGGGAAGTTCTATAGTCTCCAGTTCAGGATGATATCCAAACTTGAGACCTTTGGGTTAGCACCCAACCACGACATCCCATAATTGTGCCATTTAATTGGATGAAAGTATGCACTAAATTTAATTGTACTAAGGTGGGCACTGTGTACTTAGGTTCTCACCATTTGTGGGTCAGCATGGTGGGTGGAAGAGCTAATGATTGCTAACCTGAAATTTGAAAACTTCTCAGTTTGGACCCCAGGCAGATGAAGAGCTAATGATTGCTAACCTGAAATTTGAAAACTTCTCAGTTTGGACCCCAGGCAGATGAAGAGCTAATGATTGCTAACCTGAAATTTGAAAACTTCTCAGTTTGGACCCCAAGCAGATCAGCCTAGGGACAACAGCTAATCCAGAAGAGAAAAATCAAACAGGAGTGGAGCCCCTAAGGCAGTAGGATGACCAAGTCTGGTTTCCTTACAGCATCTCCTGTGACACAACTGACGCCAAGCTGTGTAGGTAAAGCTGAATATATTGGCAACATCTCACTTGCTACCTAGGCACAATCATCCTATTGTTTATCAGACCATGGAGACATTTATAGATTTTATATGTGCTATTGGTATGAGGTATTTCACTGTACTGAGGTATGCACTATTGTTACACTCTACTGAGGAATGCACTATTGTTACACTCTACTGAGGAATGCACTATTGTACTGAGGTATGCACTATTGTTACACTCTACTGAGGTATGCACTATTGTACTGAGGTATGCACTATTGTTACACTCTACTGAGGTATGCACTATTGTTACACTCTACTGAGGTATGCACTTTTGTTACACACTACTGAGGTATGCTCTATTTTACTGAGGTATGCACTATTGTACTGAGGTATGCACTATTGTTACACTCTACTGGGGTATGCACTATTGTTACACTCTACTGAGGTATGCACTATTGTTACAACTCTACTGAGGTTTGCACTATTGTACTGAGGTATGCACTGTTGTTACATTGCACTGAGGTCAGCGCTATATCATTGAGGTATGTAGGCCATCTATTGAATTGTAATTGTGCTGAGGTAAGCACTAGTAATATACATAGGTTTGCACCTTTGCAATGTAGTGACATGTGGACTACTCAACTGATGTACCCACTTCTCAATTCCTTACCCTCTTGTCAAGTTTTGTTTTCCCTGTCAATAAACGAACTTGAGCAGTGAGTTTATTGTAGTAAGATTTATTTTCTCTTGTTGGTTCCCTTTCTGCTTTTTTCCTTGCCTCCCTACGCCTTTGAACAGTTTCCTCTAGCTCAGGACTCCAGAAAGGACTTACATGCCTTCCACCTGAACTTGACATAGCCGTGTTTTGCTTATTAAATTTAAAAACAAATGATAAAATAAAACAAATTAACTGTCCCTTTTTAATCAGTAAACCAAAACAACAGGTTTCTATGGAAACATTCAATCAAGTTCTAGTAAACAGTGCTGGATTGCTAAGCATAAGTCTGGAGTAGGACTCCCGTATTTAAGTCCTTATGACACCAAGGAATCCACCCAGCTCCGATGAACTGATGAAGTTCATGGAGTAATGGCTACTGGACATAGAACTGACCACACCATCACTTTATGTGCTCTGGTCATTGATACACTTAAACTCTACTTAATCAGCCTTCAGAAAATGTAACTTCACTTTTTGCCATTAGTGCCTTCCTTATAGACCATTCCTACTCCTTCCACAATGATTTTACTGCAACCAATTATTCCAAAGCAAAATCTATTGATAACAACATAATTAAACATCAAATTTAAGGCGCTAACTGATTTAGGTAATGAAATAATTTTGGTGTAGGTCTATCATATTGCTGTGATTGTAGAACCAGGTGATAGGTATATATAATTTAAATTTATAAATAAATATTCATAGCCGATAGGTAAATGCACTAGATGATATTCTTAAAATTATTTTCCTTATTTTAATTCAAGGCTTTTATTTAGCTTGCTCAGTATGTGTGTGAGCATGTGGCTCTCCAAATCTTGGAATCTTAATAATTTAACTTTCAGTTACTTTAACCCACTTCCCATGTCAAATTTAAGCTGAAATTTTGCACAGCGGTAGATCTTGGATGACAATACATGATTACATGCCTACCCCTGTCAGCCAAAAGTAGGAACAGACATGCCTACCCCTGTCAGCCAAAAGTAGGAACAGACATGCCTACCCCTGTCAGCCAAAAGTAGGAACAGACATGCCTACCCCTGTCAGCCAAAAGTAGGAACAGACATGCCTACCCCTGTCAGCCAAAAGTAGGAACAGACATGCCTACCCCTGTCAGCCAAAAGTAGGAACAGTCATGACTAAAAAGAGGAATTGAAGCCAAAAGAGGAACATACTAGATTTCTAGATCTAGTTATCTATACATATAATTCTCTTCTTGGAGACGCTAGAAAACACCAAGCTGTAAGCGCGCTCCCTACCACCCCACCCTTAAATGGTCTAGTGAGCTGTGGTTCACGCTAAATGTTTACAAACGTAGAGACGGCTATTAGGGGCAGATAATTTAGTTTGAAACGATTTTAAACTTAGGGGAGGTAACTAAAAGGAGGCTGCTTTCACGGGGGGGGGGAGGGGGGTGTAGGGTAGGGGTTGAGGGAAAGGATGGTGGGGGTAGTTGGTAGTAGTAGTATTGTCCTTAACGAGTAACGACCTACTGATTAGTTAGTAGATTACTTAGGTAAAACTCCATTTTAGCGTATTTTATTCCCCGCTTGACGTTCACCTACAGTTCAGCGTATTTTATTATAAACACAACCGAAACACACAAAAACGTTAGGAAAACACCGATCTACTTATTTTTTTTTTATGAATGCGATTTTTTATTAGAAAAGGTAAAAAAACATTAAAAAGCATTAGAACTGTTCCAATTAAATATCGTGTGACGTGTGATCTAAAACAAAGTCAGTCTCTTTGTTTTTTATTCATTTTTATTTATTTGTTAAAACAAAAATACAATACAAATAAATGAATAGTGTTTTCCTAATGTTTTGGTGTGTTTCGGTTATTATAATAAAATACGCTCAGCTGGAGGTAAACAAGCAGCGGAGAAATAAATTCCGCTAAAATGGAGTTTTACCGATTACTTACTACTAAGTTACTACTTACTACTGATGATTACTGATACTGACTGATAGTTGATACTGAATACTGATACTACTGATAGTGATAGTCACAATGATAGTGTTTTAAAGCTACACTACATTAGTACATACATAACATACTACATCAAGAATCTAGATCTATGCATTTCCAGCTTTATTTGACTGGAGAAATATAATAGATCTAGATTCTAGTTCTAGATCTAGATCCTAGATCTAGATCTAGTCTTAATAATTAATATTAGACTCTGCTGCACTGTACCTTTAACTTCTGCAAGATCTGTTGAGTAGTTTAATAACCGCAACGTATCAAAACATACAGCAAAAATACACTTGAAAATAAAAAAAAAAAAAAAACCTTTATACTTTATAAGTTTAAAGCATCAAGCTTTTAAATGCACTGAAAATAAGAAAATAAAACTAAGAAAGCAAATAAGTTTTATTTTCCGGTAATCCCTTAGTTTAGCGTCGGTTATTATTCCGGAATCGTATAGCAGTAAAAAACAGTGAAACAATAACAAAGTCTGTCACACACTTCCGGAATTCACCGGAAGTACCGTAAACCATACTTTATTTGGCGTCTTCTTTTATTTTTAAACAGAATGTTTAAAATTTGGATAGATTTATTTTTGTAATCATTTTTACATTTTGTAATCATTTTTACTATTTTCGTAATCTAGATTTTTTTACTTGGCCTAGCAGCTAGATATCTAGCTAGATCTAGATTTAATTAATTAATGGTCGCAAATCCGCTGCAAGCCAAAAACATTAAATTATTACATTTGATACATTATTTATATTTATATATGTTTTTATTTTTAGATCTACTAATTTAAATCTACTATTATATTTATTCTTGTTTCCTTTTGTCGATTAAACTTAAAAAATTAAAACATTAATTTACTACAATCGACTTTCAATTTATTTATATTTCAATGGTCAAATAAACCATGGTTTACCGTAACTCTAATTACCGAAACTCAACAAACATTACCCGATAATTTCCGACGCTAAACTAAGGGATTACCTTATTTTCCTATTTTCAGTAAATTAATAAGCGTGTTGCTATAAAGTTTATTTTTATATTTGTTTAATTTTCTACTTTTTAGTGATTCCTTATTGATGAAGTCGACACAACTAAAAATATTAGCTTTAAAACACCATCAGTACCTGCCCTATGAAAGTAGCCGTCCGTGATCACAATTTACAGACAACAGCAAGCTGATCTACGGATAGTTCTTATTCTTGTTACCTCCACTTAGTTTCAAATCGTTTAAAAACTTTATTATCTGCCCCCAAATTTCCTTCACTAGATCGACCGGCTTTACGATTGTAAACATTCTAGAGAACCAGAGCTCACCACTCTGCTAGGGTGATCGCGTCTAGCTAGCAATGTTATCTACCTATCGTCTATCTATCTACATATATTCTCTACGTCGACCAACCACGTGGAACACCACCACCACGCACGCACATCGACTCTCTAACAGAGATTCTTCCAGGCATCTCTTCGGGGGGCTTAGCCCCCCCCCCCCCCCCCACGAATTTTTTTACCGCCGCCCCCCCCCCCCCCGAACGAAATGAAATTTATATAATTTATATAGAAAATATATACATTTAACAGTGTCCGCCGCTCCCCACCCCCGAAGAAAGTCTACCGCCACCCCCCCCCCCCGAAAATTTCAAGTGCCCCCCCCCCGGAGAAAAAAGTCTGGAAGAAACACTGGTCTCTAACCCTCCTCCCGCTCTCCTGGCATGCGCAACAAACAATATCGCTATCACCCCCCCCCCCCCCCCCCCCAAGGGAGGGTGAGGATAATCGTTCTCCACGAGCTACTGATAGTGTTTTAAAGCAGAATATTTTCAGTCGCAGCATTGCTAGAGTCAAATTCACGAATTATTAATTACTCGGCTCGTAATAATACATCGAGCTATTTAATTATTATCTCCCCTTAGTTTAGAAACCATTTAATTAAATTTAAATTTTTTTTAAAAGATAGACATGTATTGTCATCCAAGTGTAACATATCTAGAAAGTTTGAACGAAATCGCTGCATTAGAAGTGGGTCAAAAGTGAGTTAAAAGATTTGCCACCAAACCACAAACAAATAAACAGACGTTGCGAACTAAATACAAGCTTGTAAAAAGGTAAATGATAGCGTAACATTATTTTTAAAAAAAATAAATAGATTGATTGACGACCTTAGTGTGCGGCAATCAAGAAGCTCATAGGAACTTATACGAACATTCGACACCGATATTTACAAAACTGCTAATTTAAAAAAGCTGTCAATTGTGTTCAATGAGAGGTAAATTGGATACAAACATCTAACCTTCTTCTTCTTCTCTTCTTCTTCGATCTTAATTTTAGTGTTGAAATTGATCGCCTCCAACACAATTAAGTATACCTGTCAACTTGTTATGCGCCATTGAGGCCATTAACTCCGATTTCAGCCTGCTTTTCTTTTTTTAATTTGTTTCCATAGCCTTTGTCCAACCAAGAACAAACTACAAGGCAGCAGTTGTTTGATTTTGGAGTTGTCTCTCCTAGAAGAGTGGTTATACCCAGCTAACGAGCCTCATCTGCCCGAGGGTTTGAACTCGAGACATTTCGGTTAAGCATCCACGAGCTTTACCGACTCGACCAAGCCGATCCCTTAACATCGAACCAATATGTACTCATTTTAGCATGATTATTTGTTGCCCCCGCCCACTACCACGACTCACACACTAACAAAGCACAAAGAGGCGAGACCCATCCGCTAGGCCTACGTCAGCAGTATTAAATATATGACTGTTTACTTTAGGCCTGTAGAAGTTTCTGACCATCGACCTAGCCGGGTACCAGACGGTGGGAGAAAGTTCGCGTCTGGTGGTGGGGGAAGTAAAGCCTGATGGTGAATAAGCGACAAACATGTAGTGTTTCAAACCAACATCTTCGTGAGACTGATTCAGTCCACAATTTGCCATTTAGTTGGAGTTCTCTACGTGGAGACCTCCCTGGCTAATGGGAGTCCAACTCCTGAGCCGGTATATCCGTGTCACGATAGTTATTCAAGAGTGTTGGCACTTGTTTGGTCAAACTAGGCCCAACTAAAACAGTAAGCACGGTATAAGCGTAAAAAAACACACCTCCATCCTCTTAGATGTCATTCATTTATGAGGCCCACAAAAAATGGATTTCCATAGGCGTCCATTTAAAGAACGCCATCCCTGGCCTGTACACCCGATATTAACGTTCACTAAAAGTAAAAGCCTATAAGTGTTTTTAAAAGTTTAAATCATACAGTGTTCACACCAGATTAATGTAATTTATGTTTCAGACTTTGACCGCTGTTTGTGTTTTTAAAATCAACCCAATCTATTGTTATAAGCAAAAGCTGTCCGGGCTGGTATTTATACTAAAGTGTATGCTCGAGTTTGATATTTTGATAAAAAAAATTGAAATAAACTTGTGATTCCAATATTAAAACATTGGCTGTTATAGTAAAAAAAACACAACAAAAAACCCAAAAATTTCAATTCAAAGGGAAATTTACTATGATTGAAAAAGGAAATTTGGGGGCCCCCTAAAAATCGGGGGTCCCTGGCTGCAGCCCCCTCAGCACCCCCCTTAATCCGCCACTGCCCATAGGCCTAACTTAGATGGGTCTAAGTCAGTCTCTAGGGATCAACTGAGGTGGAACTATTTAAAAAGCAACAAGGAAATGAAAACAAGATTTGACACGATGAAATAATTTTCCAATTCAGGGGAGAGAAAACTAAATTGGTAAACCGCTGATCCTATCAGCCAGAACAAAACTCAAAACGTGCGAGACTCATAAAATTTTTGTGGCTGAAATGTCGTATAAACTATAAAAATACAGAATTTGGCCTAATACGAATCTGTAGGTTTCACACGAAGTGGATAGAAGTTTGTGAATGATCTGTCTGTGTCTAACTAAAACCTAACAACACCCGTTTCAATTTTCGTACTTACCTCCCGTGTGTCGCGAGCAAGTAGGCGTGACGTCTGTGTTGTTGTGTGTAAACACATGACCTTCCATCAAGGAAGTATTTCACTCAGTCGCCGACTAACAAACGCTCAACCTCCTTACCAATGTACACATTGTGTTTTATCTACTAACATTCTGATTTGTGTGTTTGGGACCGTGTTTCTACCGCTAACAAAAATTACAAGCAGGCTGAGGTTTGAAACGAGGCAGTAGTCTAGTGAGAGTTGTGCGTCCTGTAGCCTAGTGTAGCCTAGTGTAGCCTAGTGTAGGTACCTGTTGACACTAATGGCAGACTCGAGCGGTTCGAGAAATTCCTGTCGGGAGTCGACGATGTACGCTCACCCCGAAATGGAAGGGTTCCTGGAGAAAAAAGGCACAGGGGTAAGTCAAGGTTTGGTTTGATGGACGATTGTCTCATACAGACACTAAAAGCCCTGGTTTAACGTCACTTTGTCTAATTTATTTATAGTTATATAACTTTTAGGTATACGGCTAATCAAGATTGTTAATTACATTACTATAACTGTTAATTAAAAAGTTTGAATGATTAGCATAACCTCGTGTTCTAGCTAGTCCATTGAATAATGGATCACTATCGAAGTATTTTGAAGTGGGTTCAGTGTGTCGGTATAGTGTCGCTAGACGCATGGCATACAAACGTAAGTAGGTCAACGTGCGTGTTTACACCTTGTCAGGTAAGATAAGTGTCACCCCGGAGCACGTCCAATACCCCCCCCCCCTACAGGAGTACGTCCACTGCCCCCCCCACTCCCCACGGAGCACGTCCACTGCCCCCCCCTACAGGAGCACGTCCACTGCCCCCCCCCCCTACAGGAGCACGTCCACTGCCCCCCCCCTACAGGAGCACGTCCACTGCCCCCCCCCACGGAGCACGTCCACTGCCCCCCCTACAGGAGCACGTCCACTGCCCCCCCCCACGGAGCACGTCCACTGCCCCCCCCTACAGGAGCACGTCCACTGCCCCCCCTACAGGAGCACGTCCACTGCCCCCCCTACAGGAGCACGTCCACTGCCCCCCCCCCCACGGAGCACGTCCACTGCCCCCCCCTACAGGAGCACGTCCACTGCCCCCCCCTACAGGAGCACGTCCACTGCCCCCCCCCCCCCCCCCCTACAGGAGCACGTCCACTGCCCCCCCCTACAGGAGCACGTCCACTGCCCCCCCCCCCCACGGAGCACGTCCACTGCCCCCCCCCCCCTACAGGAGCACGTCCACTGCCCCCCCTACAGGAGCACGTCCACTGCCCCCCCCCCCCCACGGAGCACGTCCACTGCCCCCCCCCTACAGGAGCACGTCCACTGCCCCCCCCTACAGGAGCACGTCCACTGCCCCCCCTACAGGAGCACGTCCACTGCCCCCCCCCACGGAGCACGTCCACTGCCCCCCCCCTACAGGAGCACGTCCACTGCCCCCCCCCCTACAGGAGCACGTCCACTGCCCCCCCCCTACAGGAGCACGTCCACTGCCACCCCCCATACAGGAGCACGTCCACTGCCACCCCCCCCTACAGGAGCACGTCCACTGCCCCCCCCCTACAGGAGCACGTCCACTGCCCCCCCCCCCCCACGGAGCACGTCCACTGCCCCCCCCCCCCTACAGGAGCACGTCCACTGCCCCCCCCTACAGGAGCACGTCCACTGCCCCCCCCCCCCCCCCACGGAGCACGTCCACTGCCCCCCCCCCTACAGGAGCACGTCCACTGCCCCCCCCCCTACAGGAGCACGTCCACTGCCCCCCCCTACAGGAGCACGTCCACTGCCCCCCCCCTACAGGAGTACGTCCACTGCCCCCCCCTACAGGAGCACGTCCACTGCCCCCCCCCCCCCCCCCGCACTGGAGCACGTCCACTGCCCCCTTCTATTATTTCTCTAACCAATTAGTTCACTGACCAATTTGTCAACTGACCTATTTTTTAGCTGACCAGCACCCAAACTTACCTAGCCAGTAGCCAAACTTACCCAGCCAATAACCTTACCTAGCCAGTAGCCAAACTTACCTAGCCAGTAGCCAAACTTACCTAGTCAGTAGCCAAACTTACCTATCCAGTAGCCAAACTTACCTAGTCAGTAGCCAAACTTACCTATCCAGTAGCCAAACTTACCTAGCCAGTAGCCAAACTTACCTAGCCAGTAGCCAAACTTACCTAGCCAGTACCCAAACTTACCTAGCCAGTAGCCAAACTTACCTAGCCAGTAGCCAAACTTACCTAGCCAGTAGCCAAACTTACCTAGCCAGTAGCCAAACTTACCTAACCAGTAGCCAAACTTACCTAGCCAGTAGCCAAACTTACCTAGCCAGTAGCCAAACTTACCTAGCCAGTAGCCAAACTTACCTAGCCAGTAGCCAAACTTACCTAGCCAGTAGCCAAACTTACCTAGCCAGTAGCCAAACTTACCTAGCCAGTAGCCAAACTTACATAGCCGACCCATACTTTGGCGGTAGGTAGGTACAGGTGTATAAATCACAGCTTATATCTCTGTATGTATAGGGGGGGGGATGACTTAAAACTGCGGAAATGTTTTATGACTCTCAAACTACTCGGTATGAATATGTAAAACGTGCAAGTACCTGATAAAAACTAGCTTTGATTTAAAATACAGTTTCTACGACATATCCAAGACATTGCTCGTGTCGTTTTGTTTTTAGTTTAGTTTTTGTTTAACCACAGTGTGAGTTCATGTATTAGCTCAATTTCTTGGTCACTATAGCCCTACTATAGCCCTGTTGGTTGTTGTAGTCCTTCTATAGCCCTGTTGGTCACTGTAGCCCTTCTAAAGCCCTGTTGGTCACTGTAGCCCTTCTATAGCCCTGTTGGTTGTTGTAGTCCTTCTATAGCCCTGTTGGTCACTGTAGCCCTTCTAAAGCCCTGTTGGCCACTGTAGCCCTACTATAGCCATGTTGGTTGTTGTAGCCCTTCTATAGCCCTGTTGGTTGTTGTAGCCCTTCTATAGCCCTGTTGGTTGTTGTAGCTCTTCTAAAGCCCTGTTGGCCACTGTAGCCCTACTATAGCCCTGTTGGTTGTTGTAGCCCTTCTATAGCCCTGTTGGTTGTTGTAGCCCTTCTATAGCCCTGTTGGTCACTGTAGCCCTTCTATAGCCCTGTTGATTGTTGTAGCCCTTCTAAAGCCCTGTTGGTCACTGTAGCCCTTCTAAAGCCCTGTTGGTCACTGTAGCCCTTCTAAAGCCCTGTTGGTCACTGTAGCCCTTCTAAAGCCCTGTTGGTCACTGTAGCCCTTCTAAAGCATTGTTGGTCAATGTAGCCCTTCTAAAGCCCTGTTGGTCACTGTAGCCCTTCTATACCCCTGTTGGTCAATGTAGCCCTACTATAGTATAGCCCTGTTGGTTGTTGTAGCCCTACTATAGCCCTGTTGGTTGTTGTAGCCCTTCTATACCCCTGTTGGTTGTTGTAGCCTTTCTATAGCCCTATTGATTGTTGTAGCCCTTCTATAGCCCTGTTGGTTGTTGTAACCCTTCTAAAGCCCTGTTGGCCACTGTAGCCCTACTATAGCCCTGTTGGTTGTTGTAGTCCTTCTATAGCCCTGTTGGCCACTGTAGCCCTTCTATAGCCCTGTTGATTGTTGTAGCTCTTCTAAAGCCCTGTTGGTCAATGTAGCCCTTCTAAAGCCCTGTTGGCCACTGTAGCCCTACTATAGCCCTGTTGATTGTTGTAGCCCTTCTATAGCCCTGTTGATTGTTGTAGCTCTTCTAAAGCCCTGTTGGTCAATGTAGCCCTTCTAAAGCCCTGTTGGTCAATGTAGCCCTTCTAAAGCCCTGTTGGCCACTGTAGCCCTACTATAGCCCTGTTGATTGTTGTAGCCCTACTATAGCCCCGTTGGCCACTGTAGCCCTTCTATAGCCCTGTTGATTGTTGTAGCCCTTCTATAGCCCTGTTGGTTGTTGTAGCCCTTCTAAAGCCCTGTTGGTCACTGTAGCCCTTCTATAGCCCTGTTGGTTGTTGTAGCCCTTCTATAGCCCTGTTGGCCACTGTAGCCCTTCTATAGACCTGTTGATAACTTTTCTGTTCCCTTTACACATGTTTGTAGGATCAGGTTTCTCCAGCTGAAATTATGCATGACGTCATGTTTTGTCAAATGGGACTATGGGATTCCCGCAGGCCCACGAGGTCAATCTTTGGAAGTTCCTTGCTTCTAAATATAGAGTTGTAAACAATAGTGTTTCGTCACTCTGTCGTGTTTGTGCCAAAAACAATTGGAGGAAATCCCTTGTTTCTAAATATGGAGACTGTCTTTAAGACCCTCACTGTCCTGCATTCATGGTGGGGGGGGGGGGGGGAGATTGCCGGTGGTAATGGATGTAACATATGGCGACGCCCTCGCCCCACCCCCAGGTGTGACCTCGCCCCACCCCTAGTTGTCCCATTGTGACTTTTTTTCTGGGGTGGGGGGGTTTACAAGAGGCAAATCCACCATGAACACAATACAATAGACCGCAGCAGGCGGAAGATTTTAGGAGTTGTTACAGCAGACGGCAGTCAGTGGGGTTCTACCAGGTTTTTACCTCCTGCATCGGTTCATCGCAGAACCTGATTAGGCTAAAGGTAATCAGGTCATTTTTGGCTGGTTCGATTTGGCTAAAGGTAATCAGGTCATTTTTGGCTGGTTAGTAGTCTGGCGCTCTTCATTAAACCATTTCGTTACACTACCTAGCTGTGTTCCCACACTACCTAGCTGTGTACCCACACTACCTAGCTGTGTACCCACACTACCTAGCTGTGTACCCACACTACTTAGCTGTGTTCCCACACTACCTAGCTGTGTACCCACACTACTTAGCTGTGTACCCACACTACCTAGCTGTGTACCCACACTACCTAGCTGTGTACCCAAACTACTTAGCTGTGTACCCACACTACCTAGCTGTGTACCCACACTACCCAGCTGTGTACCCACACTACCCAGCTGTGTACCCACACTACCTAGCTGTGTACCCACACTACTTAGCTGTGTACCCACACTACTTAGCTGTGTACCCACACTACTTAGCTGTGTACCCACACTACTTAGCTGTGTACCCACACTACCTAGCTGTGTACCCACACTACTTAGCTGTGTTCCCACACTACTTAGCTTGTGTTCCCACACTACTTAGCTGTGTACCCACACTACCTAGCTGTGTACCCACACTACTTAGCTGTGTACCCACACTACTTAGCTGTGTTCCCACACTACCTAGCTGTGTTCCCACACTACCTAGCTGTGTTCCCACACTACCTAGCCGTGTACCCGCCATCCTAATATAGAAAAGCGCATGCGCTTCTGTCTCTCTGTACACGTGACATAATTTTTTTTTTCGTTCTTGTCACAACTATTAAGACTTTTCCGCTTGCATAATTAAAAATGTAGTTCTACACACAACACATTTCCTCCATCAGTTACATGTTATTGTGACACATTTCCTCCATCTGTTACAGGTTATTGTGACACATTTCCTCCATCTGTTACTGGTTATTGTGACACATTTCCTAAATCTGTTACAGGTTATTGTGACACATTTCCTCCATCTGTTACATGTTATTGTGACACATTTCCTCCATCTGTTACATGTTATTGTGACACATTTCCTCCATCTGTTACAGGTTATTATACGTAAGACAAAGACCTTTTGTTCCCTGCAAGGCAGCACCCTCTACCTAAAGAAGGTTGGTTCACTATTTTTTCTCTATTTGATGTTGGTTCAAAAAAAAATACTTTTTCCCAGAGGATGTTGGTTCAAAAACATTACTTTTTCTCTATTGGATGTTGATTCAAAAACATTACTTTTTTCTATTGGATGTTGGTTCAAAAACATTACTTTTTTCTATAGAAGTTTGGTTCAATTACACTATTACATTTTGCTTAAATAAATTGATTTAAAAGCATTATTACGTTTGCCTGAAGAGGTTTTGTTTAAAAGCATATTATTTTCCCCTAAATAAATTCAATTTAAAATTATTATTACTATCTGCCCGAAGCAGTGTTTCTTGCAGACTTTTTTCTCCAGGGGAGGTGTGGCCCTTGATATTTTGGGGAGGGGTGGACTTAATTACCCATGCGGATACTGTTAAAAGTATATATTTTCTATAAAAATTTCCATTTAGTTTGGGGGGGGGGGGGCAAAGAGATTCCTGGAAGAAACACTGGCCTAAAAAACTTCAATAGCATTATTACTCTCTGCCTAAAGATTGTAGGAAAAAAAGTCACAGGAAAAAAAAACACAGGAAAAAAAAACACAGAAAAAAAGTCACAGGAAAAAAAGTCACAGGAAAAAAAGTCACAAATATATATTTGCATGATATTTGTTAATACTTTTATGTATTAAATATTTAGAGAGTGCAAATTAACTTAGGATTAATTAAATGTAATGTAATGTGTGTAGGCTGTATACGCATATGAATTTTTATAATTCATCTAAAAATATTTATTATGAAGTATGTAGATTGTAATTATTTTAAACTTAAGATTAGTAGCATTTAATAGAATTCTCCAAAGTCCACGTTTTTCATCGTGTTTTTTTTTAAATACCAATATTAAATTACCGTGAAATGGTAAGTTCATCTGACTTGCTGCCCTCAACTCATCGCAACAATAGTTATGATTAGTTCAACCACCTTTACTGCCCACATTTATCACGCTCATTACATAACAAAACTTAGGATCAAAACAGAAAGCCGACAAGGTTCAAAGGCTGTCCTTGACGCATAACGTCAACAACACAAAATATGTTCGGACAAAGCCTACTGATGAGAGGCCGACCAATGAATAGCCTACGGCAAAATGTGCCTAAATTTCTTTTATAATTAACTTTTCTACCGCGTATTTAACTAAATACGTAACAAATTTGAGATTGTTGTGTTAATTATCTTAGAGTATTTTTACTTACTATTGTTATAAATCATAAGTCTTTTAACGTCTATAAATAATTTATACTATAAAAAATACAACCCACAACAATAAACATACACAATTTTACAACTCTTAACAAATTAATAAAAAGATTTCTAAAAAGATTTTTGTGACTTTTTTTCTGTGACTTTATTTCTGTGACTTTTTTCCGATAAAATTTTTCCTTTGTGACTTTTTTTCTGTGACTTTTTTTCCTAGCAAAAACTGTGACTTTTTTTCTGTGTTTTTTTTTCCTGTGACTTTTTTTCCGTTTACCTGCCTAAAAGGTTAGTTGAGTGATTCCATGGCTTTACATTTTTCAACACATTTCATCTTCAGTTAGTTCTAGTCAGGTGAGCTTTCATTCAAAATAGTCAGGATTTTAAAGTCAGGATTTTATAGTCAGGATTTTATAGTCAGGATTTTATAGTCAGGATTTTATAGTCAGGATTTTATAGTCAGGATTTTATAGTCAGGATTTTATAGTCAGGATTTTATAGTCAGGATTTTAAAGTCAGGATTTTATAGTCAGGATTCTTGTTGTTGGTCACAGTTTTCAGATTTTCTCAGCTATACTCAGCTGTCTTATTTTACCATGTGTGTCTAGACTCAGCTGTCTTATTTTACCATGTGTGTCTAGACTCAGCTGTCTTATTTTACCATTTGTGTGTGTGTGTGTGTCTAGACTCAGCTGTCTTATTTTACCATGTGTGTCTAGACTCAGTTGTCTTATTTTACCATGTGTGTCTAGATTCAGCTGTCTTATTTTACCATTTGTGTGTGTGTGTGTCTAGACTCAGCTGTCTTATTTTACCATGTGTGTCTAGACTCAGCTGTCTTATTTTACCATGTTGTCTTATTTTACCATGTGTATGTCTAGAGTCTAGACTCAGCTGTCTTATTTTACCATTTGTGTGTGTGTGTGTCTAGACTCAGCTGTCTTATTTTACCATTTGTGTGTGTGTGTGTGTGTGTGTCTAGACTCAAGGCGTCATGGACACACTTGATGTCAGCGACGCCCATCAGGTCAAGAAAATCAACTCTGACTCCACTGGTACCAGCTTTGAGATCATCATCAAAAAAAAGTCTCATATTTTTGTAAGTAGACAATCTCTTAAAAAAAACCCTGCTTATTTTACTTTCAATTAAGATTTGTTTGTTTAGATTTGTTACTCAAGATTTGTTTGTTTAGATTTGTCACTCAAATTTTGTTTGTTTAGATTTGTCACTCAAATTTTGTTTGTTTAGATTTGTCACTCAAAGTTTGTTTGTTTAGATTTGTTCATCCAGTGAAGAGTGCAGTTCGTGGGTCAAAGCGTTACACACAGCCATGGCTTTCAAGGATTCTGGGTAAGTCTAAACAACAAATGATTTCAATGGTGTTCATTATGTAAGTTACGTTTTTTTCTAACTCCATTAGTTTTAATTAGTTTTACCTAGCCTGTATAAGTATTCTAATCAGTTGTAGATAGCATGTATCAGATATTCCTAAGCTGGATCTGCACCTTCTCTTCATCCTTCCCCCTTCACAAACCAGTCAATGAATCTACAAACATTTTCAGTTTGTACTTTTGCTTTTGTTAAAATAGAAGTTGACATACAAGACATGATCAACCTATTTGTTTCTTTTCATAGCGTTCGCAGTTCAACTTTTTATACAACTGACCTGAGCGAGGATGAAAATGGCAACGAGGGTCGAGACTGCGTCTACACAACAATCTCAGACGAACAGTCCAAGGCTACAGAAGATCAGACTGAGGCTCCATACAAGGTGTCAGACTACGCAGATCCAATTGATGCTCAACCCTCAACTCCACGCACAGATCCAGTATACTATGACATCCAGGATAGCATCAAGGTCACCAGCTCTGACAAGGTCGCCTGTCCTGAAGAGCAGCCAGCCCTGCCTGACCAAGTGTATGAAGATGTGGTCACCTACCGCTCCTCTAGGGTCAGTGACTTTAGGGTCAATGAACTTGAGTCTTCTAGCAATGGCTACTCAGTGGTCACCAAGCAGAAAGATGAGAGCAAGGCTCACACTGAAGGCTCCTCAGTGGCGCCACCTGCCAGCACAATACAAGTGGCAGACGACAGCATCTACTCTGATGCATCCACAGAAGCACCTGTTTGTTCTGTGTCAGCACCTGCTTCTAGCTTGGCACATGCTTCTGCCACATCACCACCTGCCTCTACCAGGTCAGCACCTGCTTCTGCTTGCTCACCACCTGGTTCTGCCAAGTCACCACCTGCCTCTGCTCTGCCACCACCTGCATCTCCCAGAGCACCACAAACTTCTGCGAGGTCACCACCAGGGCCTGCCATGCCAGCACCTGCCACAGCCAGGTCACCACCTTCAATCAGGTCACCACCTGCTGTCACTCTCACTGGCCCTTCAGAGTCACTCCAATCCCAGCCACCAAATGGGCTGGACCACAACGAGGGGGATCCATTTTCTATTTTAGTAGCCGCCCTTAACGAGACTGAGTACCAAATACCAGAGTTGATCCATCCCTTGTGTGATCAGGACAGAAAGCCACTGGATGATTTAAAAACATTTTTGGCCACCAACAAGAGCGTGTGTCGCGTCTCCTGCTCTACACCATCCACCACAGAGGACCCCATCAGCCAACTCAAAGCTGTGCTTGCTGCAGTCAGTGCTAGAAGCTGAACACTAGACCAACTGACTTTTGTAGGCTTGCACCAACTGACTTTTGTAGGCTTGCACCAACTGACTTTTGGAGGCTTACACTGACTTTTGTAGGCTTACACCAACTGACTTTTGTAGGCTTGCACCAACTGACTTTTGTAGGCTTGCACCAACTGACTTTTGTAGGCTTGCAACGACTGACTTTTGGAGGCTTGCACTGACTTTTGGAGGCTTGCAACAACTGACTTTTGTAGGCTTGCACCAACTGACTTTTGTAGGCTTGCACCAACTGACTTTTGTAGGCTTGCACTGACTTTTGGAGGCTTGCAACAACTGACTTTTGTAGGCTTGCACCAACTGACTTTTGTAGGCTTGCACCAACTGACTTTTGGAGGCTTGCACCAACTGACTTTTGTAGGCTTGCAACAACTGACTTTTGTAGGCTTGCACCAACTGACTTTTGTAGGCTTGCACCAACTGACCTTTGTAGGCTTGTACCAACTGACTTTTGTAGGCTTGCAACGACTGACTTTTGGAGGCTTGCACTGACTTTTGGAGGCTTGCAACAACTGACTTTTGTAGGCTTGCACCAACTGACTTTTGTAGGCTTGCACCAACTGACTTTTGTAGGCTTGCACCAACTGACTTTTGTAGGCTTGCACCAACTGACTTTTGTAGGCTTGCACTGACTTTTGGAGGCTTGCAACAACTGACTTTTGTAGGCTTGCACCAACTGACTTTTGTAGGCTTGCACCAACTGACTTTTGGAGGCTTGCACCAACTGACTTTTGTAGGCTTGCAACAACTGACTTTTGTAGGCTTGCACCAACTGACTTTTGTAGGCTTGCACCAACTGACTTTTGGAGGCTTGCACTGACTTTTGTAGGCTTGCACCAACTGACTTTTGTAGGCTTGCACCAACTGACTTTTGGAGGCTTGCACCAACTGACTTTTGTAGGCTTGCAACGACTGACTTTTGGAGGCTTGCACCAACTGACTTTTGTAGGCTTGCACCAACTGACTTTTGTAGGCTTGCACCAACTGACTTTTGGAGGCTTGCACCAACTGACTTTTGTAGGCTTACACCAACCGACTTTTGGAGGCTTGCACCAACTGACTTTAGTAGGCTTACACCAACTGACTTTTGTAGGCTTGCACTGACTTTTGTAGGCTTGCAACAACTGACTTTTGTAGGCTTGCACCGACTTTTGTAGGCTTGCACCGACTTTTGTAGGCTTACACCAACTGACTTTTGTAGGCTTGCACCAACTGACTTTTGTAGGCTTGCACCAACTGACTTTTGTAGGCTTGCAACAACTGACTTTGTAGGCTTGCAACAACTGACTTTTGTAGGCTTGCACCATCTGACTTTTGTAGGCTTGCACCAACTGACTTTTGGAGGCTTGCACCAACTGACTTTTGTAGGCTTGCACCAACTGACTTTTGTAAGCTTGCAACAACTGACTTTTGTAGGCTTGCACTGACTTTTGGAGGCTTGCACCAACTGACTTTTGTAGGCTTGCACCAACTGACTTTTGTAGGCTTGCACCAACTGACTTTTGTAGGCTTGCACCAACTGACTTTTGTAGGCTTGCACCAACTGACTTTTGTAGGCTTGCACCAACTGACTTTTGGAGGCTTACAACAACTGACTTTTGTAGGCTTACACCAACTGACTTTTGTAGGCTTGCACTGACTTTTGTAGGCTTGCACCAACTGACTTTTGTAGGCTTGCATCAACTGACTTTTGGAGGCTTGCACCAACTGACTTTTGGAGGCTTGCACCAACTGACTTTTGGAGGCTTGCACCAACTGACTTTTGGAGGCTTGCACCAACTGACTTTTGTAGGCTTGCAATGACTTTTGTAGGCTTGCACCAACTGACTTTTGGAGGCTTGCACCAACTGACTTTTGTAGGCTTGCAATGACTTTTGTAGGCTTACACCAACTGACTTTTGTAGGCTTGCACCAACTGACTTTTGTAGGCTTGCACTGACTTTTGTAGGCTTGCACCAACTGACTTTTGGAGGCTTACAACAACTGACTTTTGTAGGCTTACACCAACTGACTTTTGTAGGCTTGCATCAACTGACTTTTGTAGGTTTGCACCAACTGACTTTTGTAGGCTTGCACCAACTGACTTTTGTAGGCTTACACCAACTGACTTTTGTAGGCTTACACCAACTGACTTTTGTAGGCTTACACCAACTGACTTTTGTAGGCTTACACCAACTGACTTTTGTAGGCTTACACTAACTGACTTTTGGAGGCTTGCACCAACTGACTTGGAGACCTGCCCCAAATGCTGGTTACTGCCTCTTTTAAAATCATGTGGTCAATCATGTGGTCAATCGTGTGGTCAATCATGTGGTCAATCATGTGGTCAATCATGTGGTCAATCATGTGGTCAATCATGTGGTCAATCATGTGGTCATTACTTCTGATAATTTAATTTTACACCTCTTTTTAAATTGATGAAACAAATTATATCAACTAAATTAGTTCTCAATGTTGAAATCTATATTTACTTAATAAATAATTTCAACTTCAACTTGTTTTTTTTAAAATCGGTACATGAGAGTCTGTTGTGGTGAGTTGTCTAGACATACCGTAAATTAAACCAAATACAACTAGACATACACTAAATTACACCAAATACAACTAGACATACCCTAAATTAAACCAAATACAACTAGACATACACTAAATTACACCAAATACAACTAGACATACACTTAATTAAACCAAATACAACTAGACATACACTAAATTACACCAAATACAACTAGACATACACTAAATTACACCAAATACAACTAGACATACACTAAATTACACCAAATACAACTAGACATACACTAAATTAAACCAAATACAACTAGACATACACTAAATTACACCAAATACAACTAGACATACACTTAATTAAACCAAATACAACTAGACATACACTAAATTACACCAAATACAACTAAATTACACCAGTAACAACTAGACATACACTAAATTACACCAGTAACAACTAGACATACACTAAATCAGAGGCGTAGCGACCCTTCCCGGCGCCCGGGGACAAACTTACAATTTGGCGCCCCCCTCGGGAGTAAATTTTCAATTTGCACCCCCCCTCAACTTTTCGATTTGCATACCCTCCCCCTCAAACTTTCAATTTGCACCTCCCCCCCTCAAACTGCAAAAATGCAGCTAAATTGACATTTTAATTTGTTTTTACAACCCATTTTGGCGCCCCCTAAGGTCGGCGCCCGGGGACATGTGTCCCCCCCCCCTGCCCCCCCCCATCGCTATGCCTCTGCACTAAATTACACCAATTACAACTAGCCACACACTAATACACCAAATACAACTAGACATACACTTAATTACACCAAATACAACTAGACATACACTAAATTACACCAAATACAACTAGACATACACTAAATTACACCAAATACAACTAGACATACACTAAATTACACCAAATACAACTAGCCATACACTGTTACACCAAATACAACTAGACATACACTTAATTACACCAAATACAACTAGACATACACTAAATTACACCAAATACAACTAGACATACACTAAATTACACCAAATACAACTAGCCATACACTGTTACACCAAATACAACTAGACATACACTAAATTACACCAAATACAACTAGACATACACTAAATTACACCAAATACAACTAGACATACACTAAATTACACCAAATACAACTAGACAAACAGTAACTTTAATTCTCCTGCAAAGAATGGCCTGCATGTCAACCTTAAGGTTTCTTGTAGGCCTTGATTTTCTCCAATATCCAGGGCAGGAAGTAGGTGACCTTACTGTAGACACCAGGCTCACCCTTTAAGGCACAGCCACGACCCCAGGACGACAGGCCAATCAACATGACAATACCTGGACAAGAAGTGGTCAACATGACAATAGCTGGACAAGAAGTGGTCAACATGACAATATCTGGACACGGTCAACATGACAATAGCTGGACAAGAAGTGGTCAACATGACAATATCTGGACAAGAAGTGGTCAATATGACAATACCTGGACAAGACGTGGTCAACATGACAATACCTTGACAAGAAGTGGTCAACATGACAATATCTGGACAAGAAGTGGTCAATATGACAATAGCTGGACAAGACGTGGTCAACATGACAATAGCTGGACAAGAAGTGGTCAACATGACAATAGCTGGACAAGAAGTGGTCAACATGACAATACATGGACAAGACGTGGTCAACATGACAATACCTGGACAAGAAGTGGTCAACATGACAATAGCTGGACAAGAAGTGGTCAACATGACAATTTCTGGACAAGAAGTGGTCAACATGACAATATCTGGACAAGAAGTGGTCAACATGACAATATTTGGACAAGAAGTGGTCAACATGACAATACCTGGACAAGAAGTGGTCAACATGACAATAGCTGGACAAGAAGTGGTCAACATTACAATAGCTGGACAAGAAGTGGTCAACATGACAATATCTGCACAAGAAGTGGTCAACATGACAATATCTGGAGAAGAAGTGGTCAACATGACAATAGCTGTATAAGGTCAACATGACAATAGCTGGACAAGAAGTGGTCAACATGACAATAGCTGGACAAGGTCAACATGACAATACCTGGACAAGAAGTAGTCAACATGATAATATCTGGACAAGTAGTGGTCAACATGATAATAGCTGGACAAGAAGTGGTCAACATGACAATACCTGGACAAGAAGTGGTCAACATGACAATAGCTGGACAAGAAGTGGTCAACATGATAATAGCTGGACAAGAAGTGGTCAACATGACAATATCTGGACAAGAAGTGGTCAACATGACAATAGCTGGACAAGGTCAACATGACAATACCTGGACAAGACGTGGTCAACATGACAATACCTTGACAAGAAGTGGTCAACATGACAATATCTGGAAAAGAAGTGGTCAATATGACAATAGCTGAACAAGAAGTGGTCAACATGACAATACCTGGACAAGATGTGGTCAACATGAGAATAGTTGAACAAGAAGTTGTCAACATGACAATACTTGGACAAGGTCAACATGACAATAGCTGGACAAAAAGAGGTCAACAGAACAATACCTGGACAAGAAGTGGTCAACATGACAATACCTGGACAAAAAGTGGTCAACATGACAATAGCTGGACAAAAAGGGGTCAACATGACAATATCTGGACAAGAAGTGGTCAACATGACAATAGCTGGATAAGAAGTGGTCAACATGACAAAAGCTGGACAAGAAGTGGTCAACATGACAACATCTGGACAAGAAGTGGTCAACATGACAATAGCTGGACAAGAAGTGGTCAACATGACAATATCTGGACAAGAAGTGGTCAACATGACAATATCTGTACAAGAAGTGGTCAACATGACAATAGCTGTACAAGGTCAACATGACAATAGCTGGACAAGAAGTGGTCAACATGACAATATCTGGACAAGGTCAACATGACAAAACTGGACACGAAGTGGTCAACATGACAATAGCTGGACAAGAAGTGGTCAACATGACAATATCTGGACAAGAAGTGGTCAACATGACAATAGCTGGACAAGGTCAACATGACAATACCTGGACAAGAAGTGGTCAACATGATAATATCTGGACAAGTAGTGGTTAACATGATAAAAGCTGGACAAGAAGTGGTCAACATGACTATACCTGGACAAGAAGTGGTCAACATGACAATAGCTGGACAATAAGTGGTCAAAATGATAATAGCTGGACAAGAAGTGGTCAACATGACAATATCTGGACAAGATGTGGTCAACATGAGAATAGTTGAACAAGAAGTTGTCAACATGACAATACTTGGACAAGACGTGGTAAACATGACAATACCTTGACAAGAAGTGGTCAACATGACAATATCTGGACAAGAAGTGGTCAATATGACAATAGCTGGACAAGAAGTGGTCAACATGACAATAGCTGGACAAAAAGTGGTCAACATGACAATATCTGGACAAGAAGTGGTCAACATGATAATAGCTGGACAAGAAGTGGTCAACATGACAATAGCTGGACAAGAAGTGGTCAACATGACAATATCTGGAAAAGAAGTGGTCAACATGACAATAGCTGGACAAGAAGTGGTCAACATGACAATATCTGGACAAGAAGTGGTCAACATGACAATATCTGGACAAGAAGTGGTCAACATGACAATAGCTGTACAAGGTCAACATGACAATAGCTGGACAAGAAGTGGTCAACATGACAATAGCTGGACAAGGTCAGCATGACAATAGCTGGACAAGAAGTGGTCAATATGACAAAACTGGACAAGAAGTGGTCAACATGATAATAGCTGGACAAGAAGTGGTCAACATGACAATAGCTGGACAAGGTCAGCATGACAATAGCTGGACAAGAAGTGGTCAACATGACAAAACTGGACAAGAAGTGGTCAACATGATAATAGCTGGACAAGAAGTGGTCAACGTGCAATAGCTGGACAAGAAGTGGTCAACATGACAATAGCTGGACAAGGTCAACATGACAATAGCTGAACAAGAAGTGGTCAACATGACAATATATGGACAAGAAGTGGTCAACAGGATAATAGCTGAACAAGGTCAACATGACAATAGCTGGACAAGAAGTGGTCAACATGACAATAGCTGGACAAGAAGTGGTCAACATGACAATAGGTGGACAAGAAGTGGTCTACATGACAATAGCTGGTCAAGGTCAACATGACAATATCTGGACAAGAAGTGGTCAACATGACAATAGCTGGACAAGGTCAGCATGACAATAGCTGGACAAGAAGTGGTCAACATGACATTATCTGGACAAGAAGTGATCATTATGACAATACCTGGACAAGAAGTGGTAAACATGACAATATCTGGACAAGAAGTGGTCAACATGACAACAGCTGGATAAGTAGTGGTCAATTTGACAATAGCTGGACAAGGTCAACATGACAATAGCTGGACAAGGTCAACATGACAATAGCTGGACAAGAAGTGGTCAACATGACAATAGCTGGACAAGGTCAACATGACAATACCTAGACAAGAAGTGGTCAACATGACAATAGCTGGACAAGGTCAGCATGACAAAACCTGGACAAGAAGTGGTCAACATGACAAAACTGGACAAGAAGTGGTCAACATGATAATAGCTGGACAAGAAGTGGTCAACATGACAATAGCTGGACAAGGTCAGCATGACAATAGCTGGACAAGAAGTGGTCAACATGACAAAACTGGACAAGAAGTGGTCAACATGATAATAGCTGGACAAGAAGTGGTCAACGTGACAATAGCTGGACAAGAAGTGGTCAACATGATAATAGCTGGACAAGAAGTGGTCAACATGACAATACCTGGACAAGAAGTGGTCAACATGACAATAGCTGGACAAGAAGTGGTCAACATGATAATAGCTGAACAAGAAGTGGTCAACATGATAATAGCTGGACAAGGTCAACATGACAATAGCTGAACAAGAAGTGGTCAACATGACAATATATGGACAAGAAGTGGTCAACAGG